TCTCGCGCCCCGCAACTTTTGAGGCCATCAGAGTCCAGACGCACGCCCGGCGTCGATAATGCCGGCCTCATGCCGCCATGGGCTGAGAGACCTCCTCTACTTTCTGTCTCCTCTCTCCTCCTTCCTCCGGTCGGCGATGACCAAAGAACGGCATCCTGCCTCCCTCCCTTACATCGAGCCGTCCCTCGTCGACCTCCTCTCCTCCTCTTACCGCCGCATCGACACTGATGAAAAATTTGACGCCCGCAGCTCCGCCCCATCCGCACGGTGACCAACACGCACCGCGAGCTGCCGTCCGTGCACATGGGCCACTCGGACAAGTTCCTCGACTACCTCATGGAGAGCTCGCAGGGCGGGAAGGTGCTGCCGACTTGGAAGGGGGAGCAGTATCTTCATCTTGAATCAGTGTACGTGTTTCTTCCTCCTGTTCTCCCATTCTAACGGCCTTCATAGTGGCATGGTCTACGACGATGCTGAGAAGCTATACGTCGAGGTGCGCGAAGTCTTTATGTCAGGTACATCTTGGAGCGGCGCTGATGCAAGATGGGATAGTGTACACGAACGGCGCAGACCATTTCGTTCTGCGGAACGCCAGCATGCACCTCACCATCTCCCACAAGCGGATCACGAGTCCATTCGACGTGCAGCTGGAGTGCGTGCCCCCTTACTCTCATCGTCGGACTGGACTCATAGGTGCATTTACAGCTGCAAGCTCATCCAGGAAGGCGCCACTGGCGGGCTCGTCGTCTTTGAAGACCGCCCGAACCACTGGGACGCGTGCAATGTCAAGATTCACAACCTGGAGAAGGCCACGCACCAGTCCGCGAAGATATTGGTCGTCACGCAGGACCCGCTGCGTGTGTCGGTGAGGGTGTGGGTGGTGTACGAGCAGAGCAGGTTTAGCATCACGGTGCGTGGATTTGTGGTCTTCCGTGCTTCTGCCGTTTTGGCTGACATCTTGTGCTGTAGATATCGCGTTGACTCTGTTCCAGGTACGCTGTGTGTTCTCTTCTCCCTAGAAATTGACAGCTGACTACCGCGCTCTAGCCTCGCCAACACTTGACTCTCGCCTCACCAACACTCGACTCTCGCTCGATGTTGGGCTTCAACGCGTGGGTAGACTGGCACTAGCGGCACGACTTCCTCAAGTATGTGTTGCTTCCAGTCCCTTTCATTACTACCTACGCCTTGGCAGCTGAGCTTCCGCTCGTCCTCTCTAGCGACAACCCGAAGTAGACGTACGAGACTGCATGTGGTAGATAGTCAATGGATCTTGTTTTGTGTCAAATTAGTACGGTGTAGGCAAGGAAAAATATATATTAATAAAAATATTAAATGGCGGCAGCCCTAGGCAAAAAAGGGTCGGCCAATATCTGGCCAATATTCGCTCCAATATCCAGCCAATATTTGGCCAATACAACGTCTAATGGCGGAATATCGGCCAACCACTATTTGACCCTTATTTGGCCAATACTCCCCTAATACAACGTGTATTGGCCAAATATTGGTCACTATTTATTCGGGCCAATCTCCGGTGTCACCATCGGTCAGACACCAGAAACTTAGTCTGATATATTTGAAGGTCCAGAGGCTGAAGCCGGGACAAACGGCTCAATAGGAGCGTTCAAAAGTTCATGCCGGAAATGTCGGCAGATAAACAACCTTCGAGGACCGCCTAGTTTCTCTTGTTAAGATGTACAAGAGCGCGTTGAGAAAATGGCTTTGAATGGGCGCGAAGAGACGGGCGGTGGCGAGGCGCTGATAAACAGGCTTCGGACGGACAGAAGGTGAAAGTGGATGGTGGAGGAAAAGATAGGGGAAATAATAGACAGGGTAGAATGGAGAGGTGCCGATGGCGACGAACCAACCTTAGAGCGGACGCGACGAGGCTACGACAACCCGGCGAGGCGACGCTCACACGGCCCACTCCGACGCGCGCCTTGCTAGCTCACCCCTGCCTGCCCGCCTCCGACTCAGCACACCTGCCTGAGACCCTCGGCGCGCTCATTCCCGCACTGGGTCCCCCTCACCCATTCACATTTCCCTTCCCGTGCAACACCATTCTTCTATTTTCCCTTCCGCCCAACCCTCCCATTCCTCTCCCTTGCCCAGTTCGTCCCTTCAACGGGTACAGTGCCCAAATACGGACCATGGACACGCACGACACCGAAACACGGATACACACTGGGAGAGTCGAGGCGCAGGAGGAGTCGAGAGCATGGTGAGGTGCAAGGTGCGGTGGCTTCGGCTCGCAGTCGGAGGCGTATGGAGGACGGGGTAGCTACGCGTCGATTAATCTGCGAGTATGTGAGCAAGGGAAAGGACGGGTGTAGATGGGAATGTATGGAAGGCGAAAGAAGGAAAGGAAGGATGGGACGCACGAACTGATCCTCTCTGGCTGTCCCTTACGACACGACAGCTCGAGGTACGCGTTGGACGCTCGGTGCGAAGTCGAGGCTGTAGTCATAGCGCTCAGACAGGTTGTATTGCCGCTGCCCAATACTCGACGCCGGGATAGAATCGGGGCGATATGTAGAACTCCGCCCGTCCGCGTCAGGTCTCAGATCGTACGTCCGTTGCTTGCGTGGCAGTATTAAACTAAGTAGGAGCGAAATCGCAGGTAGGCACCCTGCGAGTGGATTTCAGACAAAGTCGAGCACAGTGGGATCCAGGAGCACATCGGCTTAGTGGCAGATGGCGGCGTTGTATAGCTGGCCCCACTCCGTGCTCGGTGCCGTCTGCTCCTCCGAAGGCCTGAAATTCGGGTGTGAATACCACTGAATAAATCGCGCACCTCCCTCCGCTGCGCCGCACGATGTGACACTGGCCAGGGCGCTCCGGGAGTGCGGATTGGTGCAATCATCGCCCGCTATCCGCGTACTTCAAGACACGACTTTTGGCAGAAAGAGAATGCAGAAACGTGACGATTGTCATTGCAGAAAGAAAGAACGGTCGGCAGTTGCCGATCACTTGTCGCTTTTTGATCCGTGTCCGCGTTTAGTCATTCGCCCCTATTCTTGAGAAAACAGGCAAAGCTTGTGTTAAACACCGTCAGGTCTAGTTACTGCAAGCCGCGCACTATCGGTGAGCCTCTCAGACCAAATAAACTTGAGGACTTGATGGAATGGCTGCGGCCTGAATCGGACAGGCATGGCTAATCATGTTTCATCGTTGAATTGACGGCAGTCCGTTACCCCGCCTAATTTCTTCCGGTTTCAAGAATCAACGTCCACGTCCACGTCTCGAAACCTTCAAACGATGCTTTGGCTGTGAGTTCAATCCATGAAAAGATGGGAAAGGCTTGGCTCCGGATCGGCGATTTCCTTAAGCCAGAGCGGAACTGAACTGAGGTAACACGGTCCTGTCAAGTAGATTGGTATTGGGATTCAACGGGATCTCATGTTCAATGCTGAAGTCTCAAAGTGAGTAATTAATTGCCTCTCGTCCCCGTCGTTGACAGAAGCCTTTGGAGGGCGGGGTTTGCTGTTAAGATTCTCTCCGAGACGGCGACGGAGACAAGTTGTGAGTTGAATTTGGGCGAAATTGGGATTTTGCTCTTGCTCAACCGAGGAAAATCAGAGTGACGTCAGCGAGATAGCAGAGGACCCGAGAAATTGAAACTTTGACTTGGAAAAATCTTGAGCAAAACAGTCGTCTTCTCTGACTTTTCTCGTCCCGATTTTGAAGCTGGGGCGCGCTTTGTTGGGGACTGTCAACTGCGCCGACCTCGTCGTAGCTCTACCCGATCTAATACATTTGTAACAGTACTCTGTGCAGGTCAGAGACCTTTTGAGACCTTTTGAGACACTGAATTCTGACTTGTTTTCTCCTAAAGGGTAATGACCGGTATCCATACAGCTTGGGTTGTATTTGTATCCGTGATGCCAGTCCACCTTTGGCGGATGTCTTCCTATGCCGACTGTTCCCGGGAACACGACTCTCCTACAACGGATGACGATCAAAGATGGAACGTCGTTCCAGCAGGGAACTATTGGCGGCATGACCTGGCAAGCATCAGTTCGTCCCTCCACCAGGATTCACGGAGCCGATCAAATACAGGTGTCCTGAAACCCGGCTGCACCATGCAAAACATCTCGAGCTGTTACCATATATTCCTAACCAATAATCCAGCGGCCAGCTAGATACCAACCACCTGGATTCTCCGCGCCAGCAAGTTGAATTTCGTTTCCCGCAGGCATCGGCCGGAACCTCATTCTCGTACGGGGGGACGCAGTATCTGTCTTCTAGCACTGGCACCGGGTCAAAATCCGTGCACTGGAATGGCAGCCTCGTTAAAGCCTTAGCAAGATCTGAAGCCCAAGACTTTACCCTTCTCCGCAAGTTCGATTATTGAACTGTTGAGAGCGGCGCGGGTGTAATGGACGACGGCATGCTGTCAACTTGTACACCCTCGACTCCAAGACTCCTCACCCCAGACCCAGGGCGCGACACATCACCCATGGCTCGAGCACTTCGAGTCAAATAAGAGGAAACACCGCTCAAAAATAGTCTCTCGCAGACAGATGCTTCAACCAAATGATCTCGTACCTCGATCTGTTGAAGTCTGTTATTAAGCGCGGGGGTCCGATCAGAGTAGAGTCTTGTTACGTAAGTGTCGGAGTTTAAATTTGGCTTCTTTTCGCGTCGTTTTGGCCGCAGAGCAAGCTTTTCAGACTTTTCTCATATGGAAACTCACATTTGGGGCTTATTTACGAGCATCTGTCAGCTCAGATCTTCACAAATTGTCTTTGAATCGCTGTGGTAGCTCGTGGTTCAATGTGATCGGACAAATACCCGTCAACTTACCTGTTTAATATTGTCGCCAAATGGTATTCAAAAAATCCAAAAATATTGGAGCAGCCAGATAGCATCTCTAGCTCATTGCTGAAGAGACAGCCAAAGTTCAAGAGGTAGGGCAAGGGCTTGAAAAGCTGATTACATAATAAGCTTTTACTCTGATCAGACCCCTGCGCTTACAAACGGACTAGCTCAAAAAGCGATAGCAGCAACTCGTTTCGATCGAGTGACCTCGGGGTTGTACAGAATATGGGCCCCGCGCGCTTCCGATTACGCCATGCACCCTTGCGTCATGCTCGCAGACCCCGCAGACCCCCCGTCCGCAGCGCCTCTTCCTTTTCCGCTCTCAGGTGGATCCCCACCGACCTCATACTTGCGCACCCCAAGTACCTCGACACGCAAGGTCGGGAAATATGCACAATGCCGACGGGTTCGACGTGTGCTGTCGACGCATCCGGTCCCGCGGAGTCGGCACAGGACAAGGACACACATAATCTTGGGTTGGTGTCGGCGCCGAAAAAATAATATTTGCGGTGGATTTGCCAGCTCGCGTCGGTGCAGGGAGGGCAAGGGACAAGCAAGTGAGGAGAGCACACGATAGCAGCGAACCGCACATCACAACCCGTAGCTGTAGTCGTAGCGCGAGGAGCTCGGGGAGCTTGTACTGCGGCGACATGGTATACCACCCAAGACCCTGGTCGATCGGGCTCACCTGTCGCGTGTCAGTATTTGTAGATTAAAATTGAGGACAGCAACGAAAGGAGAAAAAAAACGGAACAAGGGAGGGACAAAGACGAGGAGAGAAGGACGGGGAAGGGAACGGATGATGCCGTGTGAGTGCACACAGTCAACACGGGGTGAAACTGATTTTTTTTAAATTTAGTACATAAAGTTTAGAGGTTCAAAATGGATAATATACCATAAGGGAGGTGTTCGTTAGTTGTAAGAAACACATATAAATGCCCAGGGAGTGTATAGGATAAGATTTATCACTCTGAACCCACGCTTTCCGTGATTCAAGCCAAGTTGAAGCCAACTGTAGTCAGTCCTTGGGTCAGAAACTGTTGAGCTGGTGGAGTGCAGAATTTTCATTCATCACAAACACTCATTAGATAGTATATACAAACATAATTAAGTTTAAGGACGTGGTGGGAAGTAAGTTCAAGAGTGGCAGCTAGACGCGGAGAGATCAGCCCGGTACTAGGGGTGGGAAACTCCTAGATTTTATATTGATACATCTCGGGGGCGACAAATTCTCACAGCATAATTGATATCGAATTGGACTGTTGAACACATCTCTCATTGCGACACCTTTAGGGTCCCAATGGAACAGAACCTGTAACAATTGCGGTATCTGGGCTTGTTTCTTTTGAGTCGGTCCCGGGAGTCAACTATAGATTTCTGCTTTTCCCATGTCAAGTCAAGTCTTTCTCATCGATCTCCCACCTACCGCCTATCGCACAGAGTCACTTACTCGCCGCTGTGTGTACTCACTCTTGGTTAATATCCGATCCCAGATGGCAAATCCAGGCATCGGGTACAATGTTCCAAGCGATAGTGTTGGATACAATAGGGCAACACTCGTCCGCAATGCATTTATGGGAGGCCAAGGATCGACATTGGACCCTCCCGCCGACCCGTCCCTGGCGTCGGCTCGTGTAGCGCCGCAGCTTGATGGACACGCAAATACTGGCCCATCGAACAGAGTTGGCGGCCGAGGACAGGGAGGACAGAGCCGTAGAGGTCGTGGCGGTGGTGGACGCGGAACACCTGCAGGACGCTCAAGGGCGGGAGGTCGCGGGAGAGGAGGTGAAGGCCGTGGTTCAGGACACCGAAAAGGAGAACCAACCCAGACGATTTCCCAAGCTCCTGATGGTCGTGGACGGGGAACGCCTTCCGGAGGGCCAAGCACGCAGTGAGGAAGAGGAAGTGCATCTGCGGGAAGGGGAAACGGCGGGGATGCCGCCGCGGTAACGGGAAGCGGCCTGCCAACCACGTCGAACGGCGTGCCCAACGGAGAAGGTAGTGGAAGTGGACCGAGAGGGAGAGGACGAAAGAGCAGGAAACGTTCAAAAGGACGCGGGCAAAATTCAAGTTCATTTGTCCAACGCCAAGTATGTAAATTTCAATGTGAAATCCGCCCTTTTCAAATTCCATTTTCAGGATAGTGAAGAGCGCTGGACTTACAGTGAATATGTGGAGTATATGGCGGAATTCGGGTGGGATGTCGAGAACATGACGATATTCGACTCAGATTAACTGGGTCAATCAAGGCAAGTATTTTCACCTAGGTCAAGATGATACCTGAGAGTGGGTAAATCGGGAGACAAAGGAAAATTGGAACATAGTCGATGTCTGGATTTTGTGCGAAACTGGCTCGAGTCTCCGTCGAAGAGGCTGTATTTACACTGCCGATTTATCATATTTGGGTTATCAACCACAGACGCGGACCGACCGCTACCAAGCGTTATTACCTTGCATTAAGGCCGGGATTTGTGAGTGTACCGGTTCGCGAAGGAATAAATGGATGAACGAATGAACGAATGATTCAGCCCACAGAAGACACAGAGACGAGAAATGAGGAATGCGTCACTCAATTGTGCATGCTAGGACCCCAAAACACCCGACTCCTAGAACACGTGCATGGCTGGCCCTTGCACCTCGGGCTTATACCCGCACCGGCGCATACTCGCAACCCCGCGCTTCAGTAGTTCAGCGCTCGCTGCTTTCCTCATTCCGTCCCGCCCAGACGAATAAGCACGCTATCGCCCCGGCACACCACGGTCCCGAAATACGCCACGCCGGCGCCGGAATGCGAGCGCGCAGCGTCCCGAGATACGCATGCGCTCGCGCTACGGACGAGACGCACGCGGTCAAAAGTACAGATACGTGGACACGCGCCCCAGCCTGCCCCACCCAGTTTGCTCCTCCACGCGGATATAACGGAGAAAACAGAAGAGAAGGGAGAACATTAATCGACACGGGGGTGGCGACGTGCGCTGCGTTGGTTCGGTGGGCGGGGATGAAGCGCGTGAAGGGCGGGGTGGCTGCCTGCACGTTTGGTGATCAGCATCGGTATTGTATAAATAATAGGAATATGTAATGAGAAAGTGGGCGGAGGCAGAGCATGGACAAAGAGGAATGATATCAGCAGGTTCTCGACGCGGTGCTGAGAAGCCTGCAGCCAGAGTCGAGATGCGCATGATCTTGAGCAGCGAGCCGGTCATCGTTGTGGGCGTATTGTTTACGGACGATCTGCTAGCGGCGGTAGTCTGGTATCGAGTGACGAGACGGCGAAGGGAGGCGGAGAGCCAGGTAGAAAGAGGAGTCAAGCGCAGAGACGCACCACAGTAGCGAATTCACATCACATGGTCGGGCGGTCAGGGCGGTCAGGGCGGTCGGGGCCGCGACTTGTAAACAGACTGGACGACACAGAACTCAATGCCGAGTGGTAAACTGTGTGGTTAATCGTGAGTCATAGCGTTCGCACACACAGGCTCTCGAAGTTGCGGAGCATGATGCTGCACGAGTGACTCGGCGATTGGAGATGGCAATTCGCGACGCTGCAGCGTACAAGAAGTGAGTGATTTAAACTGGGTGAAATTGAAAAGCAGCGGGCACGTACGGCCCCTCGTGTCTACGCCTACGCCCTCACAAGACCTATAATATGAGCTAGAATAAAAGCAAGCGGTAGTATTTCCAACCTCAGATCTAGAGAGCCTCCTCACAAATCTCATTCTTCTCCTGCCATCCACCCGAATGCAAAACTCGACGATCAGTTGTCGTTGATTGATGTCCGCAGATTACAGATGATGCGGGGTAATATACTTTGACCTTGTCATAGAAGGGCGGGGCCCCGAGATGAAGAGCGGGGGACGTCGACGTCGACCGTGTTGGCGGAGCAAAGACGCTGATTGATGACGATGATGGGCGTGGCGCTGCCGATCAATCTCGGGCCGTGGCGCCGATGGTCAGAACTAAACAGCTTGCGGAAAATATTGGGCACCCAACGTACACCGCCGCTTCGCTTACGGCCAAAACTGCAACTTCCAGTTGCGTCGCTCATTCTGTCTCCAAGCAAAAACAGAAACACAGAACCAAACGAAACCTCGCCTCTCCGAGGCTGTTCACAATTTCGCAGTTGTGTTTCTTGTTTCTCGCATATATCTAGCTCAATATTGTGAAGAAGAGCGTACTATGGAACCGAGCTCCTCCGAAAGGTGCGGCAAGGTGGAAGTGCTTTATTATCATTCGCATCTTCGCAGGCTTCAAAGGGACTTCAACTACCGAGTAAGTACTTCCGAGGTCCTGAGGTCCTTCAATGCTCCAAACACGTCACTGCTGGTGTTCCTTGGCTTCTACCTCCACATTCTCCCTGCCCCAACACAGCAACAACCAGATCGATCTTACTTGAGCAAGCAACTATATACGTGGGGTGAAGGATATCTACACATGGGCGACGACATGCTCGTCTTATCCATCATCTAAACCATCTTAGTCGTCATCATCCCTCGATCGTCCACTACGCTTCGCAAGCCCCTTGAAACGGGATCTCAAGGACACTCCAGTCAGCGTTCTCGGATGTCTCATTAGATTCGGTCGGCGCATGGCGTATAATACACGGGCCTCGAATGTTCCGGGCCACGGCCATGATAACGTCGCGAGTGATCCCGCCGTTCGGGATATTGATGCGGCGCTCCGCTCATGGGTCGAGTTCTTCGCCCGCGAAATACAAGAGCCAGCCCCACGCCCATGGATTTCTCCCATGACACACACTGCATTCCGACCCCTTGTAGACAGACCCCTGTCTACCTTAGATTACGTCCATCTACGGGTTGTCGAGCCGAGGCTACATGAGGCTATGCACGGCTACCCGTGTGTACACCGTAATGTTCGGCGAGCTTAGATTATGTGCATCTACATGCCGTCTACATGCCGTACATGAAGCATCGGCTACGTCAGTCGACCTGCGCCTACCTGCTTCTACCCCATCGACCCACTTAGACGCACACGGCTATTTTTCACGCTCTATGGCACGAGTTGGGAATTAACCTCCCTGCACATTCTGTTTGCATGCCAGTAAACCTCGGTCTCTGAGCTCGCGCTATAAGCTTCCGGGATCAGCCCTGGCCATCAACGGTGTTCTTTGCGCGGACATGTGGCTATGTCGGTCCACGTGTGTCACGGTGTGTGTACATCAGATACATAAGTAGACCGATTTAGACTTATGTAGATCAACTGCGGCTACGGTACGTAGACACAGGTAGACAGACCCGTCTGTCTAC